TCTAATGGCTGATATTTTCAAAAAAAATATGTTTTTTTAATAAATACAATTTTTTCAAATAAATATCATTATATTTTAATAAACACATTTGTTGTTATTTTTGGTAGCAATTTGTTTGTTTGTTGGTTTTTTGTTGTTGTCGATTGTTGGTGTTGATTAGTTGGTTGTGGAGAGCGGTGGACGTTGGTAGAGAATAGAGGAGACCACAGGAAAAATAAACCGGCGTAAAGGAAAGAGATAAAAGAAAGAAGGAAAATATACAAAGAAATTAATTTCGGCTTTACAATTGTTGTAATTTTTTTTTTTTTTTTGACAAAAAGTAAAAAATTATATAACAAAATTCGAAGAATTCTTAACAATTATGTTTGTTGCAAGTATTGGCGAAATGATATAGTTTATTTACCTTAATAAATGTCCGTCACGTCGACGTGATGTCTGCCATGGTGAGTCCTCGTAACGGTACGCCTTGCGCATCAATGGCGCACAGGARCAGCTCAACTTGTTACCCATGGCGCAGCTGGCACAACCACCCTGACCTCCAGCAGCTGGAATAAAGTTGTTGTTGTTATTTTTTTTAGAGAATATTCACAAATTTTTCTTTTATATTACACAACAATGTGTAAAAAATTATAAAACATTAGTTTAATACTTTTTAAATTTCAGTGACACTCTGTGTTTGTATTGTACGTTTCCTTGCACTTTTKGCTACATTCATAAATTCAACATTTTGTTATGATACCTACCTTTACCTGAGGCACCCCGATGTCACCACATTCCGCTTACATCTGCCTGTGAAAGCGCTTGACCGCGATTTAAGGACTGCGAACGTTGGTTGTGACGATGAGCGTGATAACGACTACCGCGCTGTAAAGACCAAAAGTCAAAATTTAGTAAATCATAGTATATTTGGAATAATTTTATAGAGACAGTAGCAGAAAATGATTTTTTTGTGTAGGTATCAAGCTATTTTTCAAGACCTACCACTTAGAGTTTAAAAATTCTATAAATCGTGTCTAAATTTATTSATTTAAGTTGTATAATTCTGTTCCAAATTTTTAAGTGATCTAACAAATAACTTTCGAAATTCATTTTTCAAAAGTGAAAATCTGTACAGAGGATACCGATCGATACAATAAAAGTGTTTTACACCATGACTAGCATATGATCAAATTTGACCCAGACTGATCCTTTTAAACTGTGCGCGCAAACCGAATCCGTAAACAAAAAAAAAATTTTTGTTTAATTCAGCCCGAATGTGATTAAATGATAATGGGTGACACACGTTGAGGTACTTTTTTCAATAGCCGTTTTTTGACAGATCACGCGTGAGTCGTGTCAACCTGTCATGTTATTTTTGTTCACTATTGTTTGACATTCAAATTCGTTTACAAATCGTTCAACTTAATTAATAAACCGAAAATTACMACTCGCAACTCGGACTGACGTATAGAACGACTTTTACGTCGACATCGCTTCGTTTYATGAGCTCTTGAAAAAGTTCAAAGTAGATCCGACGTTTTCAAGCCAAATTTTGTTARCAAAGAGGCTCATTTCTGGCTCAATGGGTATGTAAACAAGTAAAATTAGCATATTTGTGATGAAGAGCAATCGGAAGAGATTCAAGACCTGCCACTTTATCCAGGAAAAACAAAGTTTTGCTGTGGGTTGTGGGCCGATGGAATCATTGGTTCATATTTCTTCAAAAATTACGCCATTGAGAACGTAAACGTTATAGGTGACCGTTAATGCTGCTCGCCGACATTTGGTTTCAGCGAGACGGCGCCACTTCCCACACATAGCACCAATCAATAGATAAAGTGAGATCGTTTCAGGAAATGCCAGAGATAGGTTAAAAATATATGGCTGTAATAAATCTAATTCTGTAAAATTTTGGTTATGGTTCTCTACTTTAGAAATATATTGTACAAGATTCTGTAGAGACGCAAAACCATTAAAAAATTATTAAAACGTTTTTCGATAACTCGATAAATACCTAACGAATTAAAGTTCAGTGATCTTCCGTTTCTTCTCTGAAACTWTGATGTTTACTTGCACGGTTAGAGCGCTTATTAAGAGGAATAAGAGAGTGATTACTACATAAACATTATTTTACTTCACCAAGAGTACTTTGACATTTTTTTTTGCGTTTTTCCACTTCTTCTCTCATTTTAAGTACATAAAAAAATGATAAACACGCTCTCCATCTTTACAAAAGAACTCTAAGAAAACTAATAGTGGACAATATACGTGTATTAGTAACTACATACTAAAGTATATAAATATAACGGAATTGAAGGAGATGCATTAAAAKAGGTAATGACAAAAAACGAGTTGAAAGCGCGCAAGGAAATAGTTAATTTATATAACAATGAAAGCTGCAGCATTTCTAACATTTCTGGTAACAATGAGAAATTACAACGACAACGACAACAACGACGTCGACGACAGGCACTTAAGCWAACAAATGACAAACCTATTTACACAGGCTTCTCATGCTCGCACAGAAAACGGCAATACAAAGGAGAACTTGCAGAGAAAAACTGCTCTCACTGCAGGCACATAATGCTTAGGGAAAAATAAAACGGTTAAAGGATGAAAAATCATTGCGGTAATGCTTGAACTTCCTTTATATATAATTTTTTTTTTAACAGTTTTAGATGGAGTAGTTGGAAAATTCATTTGAGTTTGCTATTTACTAAGCAGAACATGAACTATAACTAATATACAGGGATTTCCAATAAGAGTGTTAAGATTTCTTTCAACACATTATTTCATATGCACTATATCAGTCAAATCGCCGGCACGACGTCTTTTGCAAGAACGATTCGTTCGTTGGAATAACTCAGTTTTGGAGGACTTTTACTACCAAACCAAGTCATATGTCATGAATGGCACGCTCAGTATTGACTTGTAAAGATTGAAGAGAGTCTAGTTTATTGCTAAAGMTCAATGACTTCAAATAACCTTACAAGAAGTAGAGCAATGGTGTTAAATCAAAAGTTCTTGAAGACCCTTCAATGTCACAATTTCTTGTAAGTATCGGATCTCCAAAATTTTCTCGCAAGAATTCGATTGTTGCACGTGCTGTGTTGCACATAGAACCCACTTACTAGATTCATATGTTGTCAAGATCAATTTCTTCCAGTCGCGATCATAAAAAGTTGGTTATCATCAATCTGTACCCATCATCACCATCTTCACTTCGAAACACGTACGAAACACGTACGAAGCGATGATTGCACGAGACCAAAAACCTCACCAAATGTCAATTTAGGTGAATGTAATGTTTGTTAATGAACAATTTGTGGATTTTCTTCGCACTGGAATCTACAGGCTTTGTTTATTTGTCGCACCACTCAAACGAAAGTAAGTCTCAAAGTTGTTTCAAAACAAAATCAGCTAATTCACGACGCTTATGGTAGTCCAATGTCTTTAGTTCTTGAGTAAGAACAATTTTATACGGATGCAAGCCCAAATCCTTTCCAAAAATCCGCCCCACTGTGGTTTGAAACAGTCCCAATTCTTAAAAACAAAGACAAATTGCGATCTTCAGTAATACTTGTCTGAAAGGYAGCAATATCTTCATTACTTGGAAAGGTTCTTTGTCTTATTGACACTGGAACATTATGCAAAGAAAAAGTAAGTACACTCGCAGCGAGGTGAACATTTCAAGATATATGTAATTAGACTGCAACTTCGAAATTCTAAGATAATTATGATCCGGTGTCCAAATAATTCTTTAACTTATCGAGGTATATGTATATCTAGTGCGGTCTTATCGTCATTGAAACCTGAGATAGTCGGTTTTACTGATCCAAGTAGGTTTTGATGTCCTTACTTGAGGTGGTGGTTCTCCCATCCTAAAAAATTGGTGATGCAGCMTATCCCATTTAATGGCAAAGCTTTAAACTTGTATGAGCTCTAGCATTATCCTGGTGCACTTTTGCTTTYGAACAATTCTGTCCTCTTCTGTATGAGTGCATTACTCAATTTGTCCAGCTGAAAGTGCATTACTTCAGTATTAATCGTGGTATTATCGGACAAAAGCTGTATATAAACGATCCCTTTAAATGAACAGATAATATAATCTTTTTTTTTTTTTGGTGACTATCGACCTTTGAAGTGATTTGAGCTGTCTTCAAACGAAGATCACTTCTGCGACGTTTGATAAGCAAATCACAGTAAGAACATTAGAAACGCATATGTTAATCTTCGAAATGAGTCCTGGAAGTTTCGTGAACAGTCGCGTTAGACAAATTTAACGTATCAGCAATATTCTTGTTCTTATTCGATAACTTACATCGATCGGAACTAAATTCTGTAAACCAATTTTGGTTTGGCTGTTCAAATATATAAAGGTAAAACGGATAATTGCGACTTGGATGCGAAAAATCAATAATCAATAAGATCACCTGTTTTCATTAAACGAAATTGCTTAGTGAACAACACTTTACTTGGCGCCAGTACCGAATCTTAAGGTGAATGCAAAATACTTCACTAAATACACAGCGAAATGTTCCTAAACACTTGGCCCGACTACCGTTTGCGATGGCTGTCTCACCGGAAACTGTAAACGAAAAACCGCTTCTTTGAAAGTTTCACGATTAAGTGGTTTACTCCAAATGCGAGCGAAACCATTGACCTTTATACCAAAATATTATCAGATAACATATAAATTAGAAGTTATGTCAAATCGATAGTGCGTTTTTAATGAACGTGAGTTCAGCCTCCATGATAAAACATCCCCGAATGAGTTGAGACTGATCGACTTCGCTGGGACCCGAAATATTTTTATCTCCAGTACTAGATTCCACCGTAGATAAATTAAGATACCTAATTGTGTGCGGTTCGAAAAGCCACCAACCAAATCGATCATATTGTGATAAATGGTCGACACGTCCCCAGTGTTTCAGAAGTGCGTACGCACCGAGGTCCTAACATTGACTCGGATATCTATCTTGTTGCAGCCAAGATACAACAAGCCCATCTCTGTGCACAATGAACAAAGAATATGAGTCGATGTTACGAGATTTCGAGAGAAATGTTCTGAGGAAGCAGAGGAAGACCTCCACTCCATTGGAAAAACAGGTGAGAGGGCTTTGTTTAGACTTGAAATCTTCAATTGGCGCTGGTGAGAAGAAAGAACGACTGGCGCGCTATTCTAAATTTGGCTATAACCGCATAAGCAGGGTCTATACCAATAAAGAAGAACAAGTTGGCAAACTAATCCAATGACATCAATTCCATTGTCTGTATCAATTTTCAAGCTTTGCAACTGAACTAAAATAGCACTGGTTATCAAGTGTTTTGATTGCTGTTAAGATAAAATACGAAAAGCTTTACGATGGATATGTCAGATGGTGCCTGAGGTCTTTGCAGTTGTCAAAAGACAAAATATGTAAGGAGAAGCCCGGCTTTCGTACTCTATGGGCAATTTTAATCAGATATAATATTCCTAGAGAATAGAAGAATATTCCTAGAAGATTTGAGAGACCCTTAAAAGGAAAATCTTTTAAAAGGCTCACTACAGTTAGATGGAAATATAAATACTCGAGAAATAATCCAAAACATAACTTGAATTATTTTCCAAAAACAAGTAACAAGGTTCTCATGTCAAAAACTATTGCTTGTCTAATATTTTATATTCCTATCGATACCAAAGGGTTATAACTAATATATTTATAGCTTTTTCTAATATAAAATTAAAGTTACCATAAAAAAAATCGGGTTAAATAAGATTTTCATATTCAATTAGCCGGCACCACAACTGTAATTGTCTTAATGCCAAAATTCAGCACTCAAAGTAATCTCTCACAAAAGAAATTAGTTTTCAGGCCAAAGACAATAACAAACTTTACAAAGTT